TTTTTGTCACCTCATTCAATCTAAAAGTGCATTAAGTCTGACTCTTAAATAAATTGCCTTCACTCTGTATGGACTTACAACAATTGAGCTTGAAATATAAATGCAACAATTCGAAAGGCGGAGGGTTGGTCACTCGTGGCAGTGATGCATTTTATGCTGTTAAGTTTACAGTGAAAACGATTGCTGCTAGTGCAAGACAGCTTGCAGTACCCTTTCAGTTATGAAATCTCTCCCATCGCTATCATCTGAGAACTTATTAGGTCATGTGACAGAAACCGTACCGATCAGGCAATTGATACGCCTCGTAAAAACAGAGTTAATGCGGCACGTCTCCATAGCAGCTCCGAGTCAAAGTGGATCAAATGTTTGGAGCCCTATTTTCACATGATAATCTCATTCAGTGCCGGAACAAGGGTCACGAGAAGTAGGTTTGTATTCAAAGCCGTCTGAGTCTTTTAAAGACTACGAACTTAATCTGAAACAGACGATACACTTTGTATCTTCATTTTGAAAACTGAAGTATGCCTAAAACGAACCTGTTTCAACTTACTCTGTGCGATGATTGACTGGCCCTTGCTCAGTATTCTTTCTCAAGATATTATGCAGCTCGATGTTAATCAGTCAAATGTTTATGCATACTTGTGTAAGATTATTTCCCATTTGTTTAATTCCTTGTAAAAAGGCTTTCATAAATTACGTAGAATTATCGTGCACCGCGATCACCAGGGTCGTTCGGGTTGCCACCAATTAACGTCATTCTTTCCGTTTAGTTGACCTTGCGGTTGTACGTGTGGATTTGACCTTGCATTTATCCAGGCCTTGCCTTTTTGGTGTTGTCAGAGTCCATTTGGATATGAGTCAGAATTTAAACGATATTATGAGGAATCCACCAATTAAGTTTGTAGATGAGTGATTTAGTCCCAAATGTGTTTAGGCAAGTTTTGATCTGAAATAAAGATAATGGTTGGAGTATGTATGGTGGATCCCCGTGCACCCCCCTGAGAAGTTATGTACACCATTAGTTTTAAGGTCCTGAAACACATTTTAGATGTTAACATAGGAAAAAACGATGCTCTGAGGATATCGAAGATGGGGACCAAAATGGCCA